CGAAGCGGATATCGTCCTCTTTTGGAAGGCCAAACAAAGTAGTTTCGCTTTCACAACGAAACACACAGCGTCTCCACATAATGGCGGCGGCAACAATACTACAGCGAGAATCAAAGTCACGCCTTCTTTCTTTGCGTATACATATGGGTGGTGTTATGCAAATCTTCATGTGGGGGCGTGTTTAAACGAGGCTTAGGAGGCCGTGGACAAGTCTTGACTTTTATAAAGAATATCTCTTTGGGTTTGAGACTTTAGTCTTTGCAACTTTAGGGATCTTATCTATTCACAAACAGCTTGTAACACTCCAAAGAGAAAGGAAAACTTGAAATCGCATCATATGACCCCTTTAACATTAACTAACAAGCTCAATTAAAATACTGCTAATCATTCACATAAGTGATATTTGTTATATGTGTATGACTATTAGCATCAATTACTTGACATTTCAAGGACTTATAACAAAATACCATGAATATACACTAATGAATCCCTTTATAAATAGTTATTTTAACTTATTTAAATTTTTTTTTTTTCTCCCCCTCTCTTTCTCTGACTCACTGTTGCCGTGGAAACGTGCTATTGTAGAAGTTATACTAAAGGATTCATTAGGTCTGAAGAGAGTTTGTTATTCTTCCATTGAACAGTTGGAGACTCAATCAATGTAGCCTGATATAGCTTACTGTCTCTAATGGGAACGTCTCTCTCTGACGACATGGATGCGTTTTCTCTGATACCGAAGTAGGCCTATATTGCTTGTGTCCCAAAAGACATTTTGTTTTTTCTAGTTTGTGCTTTGTCGATACTGCTATAGCTGGAGAACAGTGGAAGTTAATGAGCTAATTAATAGACATAATGAGAGCACCTGCAATCCCACAATATGCACTGATGACCATACTGGTCTTTTCAGTTGAGAAAATGAAGATTACAGCTTTCAGTTATCAAAAGTACAATCCTGGTGTTAAAGGGGCAGTTCACTTAAAAATGAAAATTGTGTCATGATTTACTTTTCAATTTCCTGTTATATTCTAAAATTATAGTTATGTCTGCTATGAAATATGTGGAACATTTTTGTCTGCAGCCACCTGAAGAAATCAAAAACCAAAAAATATTCCTCAAATCTCTTAATTCATCAGTGTCTAAACATGAATCTGATTAAATAATTTAGTAACATCTGAGACTGTGTTGCACTTATGGTGTTTTTATCCATTAATTTGTATGCTTATGTGTTTGTTTATTGACTATTTTCTACTAGACAAAATATTAATTGAGAAACTATCATGTTGTTCTCATATTAAAGTACTGTTAAAGAAATGCTCTCATCTTTTACTCATGAGTTCCTCTTGTTGCACCCAGTGACATCAAGATTTCTTGTCCCTGTGTCTGAAGGTGTTATATTTTATTTGAGAGCTAGCAGAGCTTATTATTTTCAGTGAGAAATGACTCAAATTTAAGTCTGTTCTTCACACAAAGCTATTGGAAAACTTCAGAAGACTTAGAATATATAGCACAGGAGATGTATGGACCACTTTTATGATGTTTTTTTTTTCATTTTAGAGCTTGACGGCACATGTCGTTATATGGCAAAAACCAGCAAAGCTGGTATTCTTCAAATTTTAACCTTTTCTGTTTCACAGAAGAAGAGAAAGTCATGGGTTTGGAATAACATGATTAAATGATGACAGCATGTTAATTTTGGGGTGAGATACTCCAGTAAAGGAATAGTCCACCCAAAAATGGAAATTTGCTGAAGATTTGCTTAAATTATTCAAGATGAGTTTGTTTCTTCTTCAGAACAGATTTGGAGAAATGTAGCTTTACATCACTTGCTCACCAGTGCATCCTCTGCAGTGAATGGTGCTGTCAGAATGAGTCCAAACAGCTGATTAAAACATCTAAATAATCCAGTCCATCAATTAATGTCTTGTGAGGCGAAAAGGTGTGTTTGTAAGAAACACGTCCATTATTAAGGTGTATTAACTTAAACCGTCACTTCTGGCCCAAAAACACGAGCTCAAAATCCACCAACATATTGGTTTGTAACTGTTTTGGACTTGAAAATGGTGATTGATCTCTGCATATTTTCTCTTCTGATTAGACAAGATGACTTTTTCCACTGAAGAAAGCAATATAATGCATAGAGGGCTCGTATTTTAGCTGGGAATAACAATTTGAAGTTAAAAACATCTTGATGAATTTCTTATAAACATTCAGCTTTTGCTTCACAAGACGTTAATTGATGGACTGGAGTCATGTGGAATATTGTGCTGTTTTATCAACTGTTTAAGGTTCAGCTGTTTGTCAGCCAGAGGATCCATTGGTGAGCAAGTGCTAAATTTCTATGTTTTAAATGTAGAAACTCATCTACATCTTGGATGGTCATGAGTAAATGAGTACATTTCCAGCCAATTAAAATTTTTGAGTGGACTGCTTGGAACTTCCATGCCAGGACTGAAGCAGCAAAATGTAGAAAATTCCTTATTTGTAATCCCTACACACATTCCCACTTGTAAGATCTTCAAATGCAGTTCCAGTGTGGCATTGTGTCAGAGAAATAAAAATGTGTTGCTTGAGGACAGCCCCTTGCATCCACACTAATGTTTTTGTGACTTATGTTGCAGTGACATTGCTATAATTTATACAGTATGTTATGTTCTGTGGGCATGGGCGAGGCAGTGCTTTGAATTTGTTTGCTTTATTTAGTTTTTTTTTTAAGTTGTACTGGAGAAAGCAGAAAGGGAGTGGGGAAATGCTCTGGGCCCACCTGGGTCAAGGACAGAGCCATAAACATGTGTATGACCAAATGGCTCTTGCGGCCGCAGGCCTGAATTCTTCCATAACTGCATTATATACTCAGTGTAGCTTTTAAACACAGCCTTTCACCTCAAACCTTTGCTTCTCGCTGTTGTAACATCAAGGTTTCTGTTTTTAAGGTGTTAAACTTGAAGTAAAAGACATTGCGCCTTCTTTTACCTCTCACATCAGTGAAGTAATTCCCAATTAGCAATGGAAGCATGGCTGTGTCTTACTGCTTACTGACCTGTTTCAACTCCATCTATGAAACATGTACTGAAAACAAGACTGCAACCCCCTAAAGATAAAAACAAATGTTTTATACATGGATTGAGACAAGTAAAAATAGAAGGAAGTTTCATTAAGGGTAACAGTTATGCTCGCTGTGAGGCTTTTCGAATGAGGACATTTTATTTGTTTCTGACAAAACAGTTTTAATTAATGAATTGCTTCTGATAAGAACAAAGAGAAATTAGCCATATTGTTGTGCTGAAAAGAGTGTAATTAATCCAAAACGAGTGATACACAGCTTAGCATACAATTGCAAGATAATTCATCTTTTGATATTCTGTTAGATATAACAGCACATAATTCCTTTACTAATTCTGGGTCTTAACTAACTAATTATTCCAAAAGCCTGGATCTGTTGCAGGCACTGTGGATCAATCTAGCATGTCCATGACACCCCACTTCCCACGCCACCCCCTTCCTTCCTCTGTGGCTTTCCAATGGCTTACACATTTTCCTTTCTCTTTTTTTATCCTTTCTTTTTTGTTTGTTTTCGGGAGGGGAGGGGTGGAGGTTAATTCAACGTCTTGTTAAAAAGCCAGTGTAAGTTGATTTTGCATGTGTTTCTATGTGTCATGGCTGTGCTTCTAAGCTCAATTAATACTCCCAGCTCACCACTGATAAACCATTCTGTGCACTGTTCTTTGCTTTCCTAGAAAGGCTAAAGCTAAAAGACAAGAGTGACAAGTTAAATAAAGTTGTCCATGTGTGATATACTTTTATTTTGTTGTAAAGCCATGTACCGCGAGCCACCTCTACGTTCCAGAATTGTGCTAAGCTCTTTTTTTCCCTTTTCTCTCTCTCTTTCTGAAGATTTTGTATCAAAGTCTAGTTTTCATGAACCTCTATTCTGTCCCTAGAATATGGAATGATCGGAGAACATACTGTAAAAAGTCAGCGGCCAAGATCAGTACATGACACAAAGGGCCTACAGGAGCGAGATGAATCTGCTAAATTTATGGCACAAACTGGTAATACAATAGTTATGCTTCTTTCCTTTCCTATGTAAACTAAACTTAATTTTCATCTTAAGTCACTTGCATGCTATCTTCTGTACTGCACCTTTAAGTGACAATGTTTATTTACCATATTTATTTTTTGTCCCTCTTCCACTTGGTTAATACATTGAGGAAAAACAACAGAATTGGCCATTTCTGCAAATTGACACCATGCTCAATTGGACTTCTGGTTTCTATTTGTTTTGATAGATTTGATGACTTTTTTTTAACCACTAAAAGCAATACATATAACCCAGACTCGTTAAAACATAGATGAATTAAGTGACAATTAAATGGTTAACATTACACATTTGTGGTTATCCAGCTGTTTTAGAGGTGAAATAACCCTGACATATTACCTTTTAAAGTGCCAAAAAAACAAGGCCTGTAGAAACGTTAAGATGTTTTCCCTTTCTTTTTCTTTGCTTTAATTTCCCTGTTTTTCTTTTTTGATTTCATTTGTTTCCTGCATGTACTCCATATGATCTGTAGCTATTATGGGGAGGGACATTAAGCAGCCATCTTATTTTGTTTTAAGTTTTGCACCTTTTGTATATTTGTGACATCTATGTAGCACTTAATATCGTTTAAGTTGCAAATCATTGTGCATACTAAACCTTAACAACCTTGTTTCCATTCCAATCAGTCGTTTATGTGTTTCTTTATTTCCATTTATAAATGAAAATCTGACCAGAATGTCATTCATCCTACATTTAGTTTCTCATTTTCAGATTGTCTGAGTTGTTGTACCACTTCATCCAGAGTTGATCCACCTTTCGATCTAATCTAATCTCTGAGAATGGCAGAGGTCCATATTGTCCATATGTACCCAAGGTCATTGCCAGTAGATTCTCTGGAAGTTAGTACAAACAAACCAATCTTGAGTGTACAAGCAACCAAACATGTGCATACATTTTGAGCATATAAACCTAAATTATTTAATGCTCATTAGGCTTTAACTGAACTGTTTTAACGAGACTTGACTTCAAAATAATAATAAAAAATAAATAAATAAAACAATGATATCAATTATTTGTTGATTAAAACATTAACCCCCAGTTTCACAGACAAGGCTTAAGCCTAGTCCCAGACTAAAATGTAAGTCTGAGCTGTGTCAACTGAAAGAAACTTGCACTGACTGATCGTAAAATATGTTATCAGTGCCTTTGTTTTGTCTCAAGAGGGACACCAGTATTGTTTTTTGTAAGGCACGTTTATAAAAATGACTTAAATGTCCTAATTGAACTATGGCCTAATCCTGGCTTAGTCTAAGCCCTGTCTGTGAAACCAGGCCTAAATGTTTAAGTTGAATATTTTCCTTCTCATACTATCCCTTTATTCAGCATCACATGGCAATTGGATTGTTATATTGTGGATATTGATAACATGTGCTTTTAGGGAGACAGTTTTCTTGCTTCTCTATAAATCAAATGTCTTATTAGTGCTTGGTCTTGCCATGCAATTGCTCATTGGGAATTACAGGCGATCCAGAGTGTAGTATTTAGTGAACAGATATAAAGCACAAAGCTAATCTTTATGTGTTTGCCAGAAAGCAGCCTATGCTTTTAAACCAACAATTATATCAACTTTATTTAGCAATCATGTATTCTAATGCCAGCAAACAATGCCAATGATTGAATTGACATTACAGTTGATAAATCATAATGTTTCCAGCTCAGAACCATAATCAAATGGAACTTCTAACAGCTTTGATTGCTTGGATTCCACATAGAAAGTTCTTCCATCAAGTGATTCTCAAATGTGACCAACGCTGCCGAAAATTGCTGTGATCTGCTGAATATGCTGGGAGAAACGCAAACCATCCCCTTTTTTCTCTACAATCTCCAATTCTAATTGATTTCGCTTCAAAGAGACAAGAAGCTTTAGCATAAATCCAGAAGATCTGAGATCTAAAAGAGCGAAGTGCAGTCTAGACAGCGGGCCAGAGGTCTGTTCTTCTATGCAACTGTAGTTAGTAGAAAACTAACTCTCATCAAAGATCATTCTCTAACTTTTAGAAGCCATGTTGCATGCATTCTGCATAGTTTATCATATTTTATATATTTCATCTATTAGTTTTGTTTGCCTTTTTCCTTTCACTTTTATTTCATCTAATTGGTTGCATGTATAATTTAAAAATATAAATATGAATTTAAACTTTAGTACTTTTAGGATGCTAATATAATAAAAGCTTCCATTATGATATTTATTTTGTGGCCACATATTCAAATGGATATGATCCTGCTTTGAATATGCATAGATGTATCGTTCATAAATGCCAATCAGGATTTTGAATATTTTTGATCTGTCAATGCAATCTTTCAATATATTTGTAGACTGTATTATGTTTAATGCCATTATTAAATATGGGCCATCCACCAGGACAAGTTTGCTCATTTGTGCTTCTAGAAATCTTCCTTCCTGCAGAGTTTAGCTGTGTCTGAAACCAAAGGCAGATTTTACTTCCCAGTCAGTCAATGATTTAACAGACAGCATGTCCGTATGAAGGTACTTCCTAAGGAAACCGGTTTGAAACTGCACCATAATGTCATGTCTAATGATCTAGAACAAATTCAAGTGAGCTTAGAGATAACCTAATGAATATTTAATGCTTATTTCTCAGCTGAACTGGAATCATAAGTTAAGTTTTAAACTATATCATTATAAGTTATCAGTTATATTTATAAACTAAACTTTCAATTGCTCTGTCAGACATCATTTTTATTCCTATAAACTACCACATGGAGGATTGTGAGAAATAATTAGGGACAGTTCACCCAAAAATAAAAATTCTATCATCGGTTATTACCCTCATGTCATTTCAGACCTGAATGACCTTCTTCTGTGGAACATAAAAGAAGATATTTTGAAAAATGCCTGTTATTTTTTTTTTATTAATTTATTTTGTTGGTCCATACAGTGAAATGCTCTGGTCATATTCTGAAATGCACTAACTTTCATTTCATGGACAAAAGCGGCTGAAACCTTCTTAATTCTTTAAAATATAAGTTAAGTCATACAGATTTGAAATGACATGATGGTGGGTAAATGAAGACTCTTTTTTGAGTGAACTGTTCCTTTAAGAGCAGACCATTTCTGATCAAATTAAAACTTAGCAGACAGGATGTTAGCATTTTTCCAGTTTTGGAAAGCCAAACACATCTAAACCAAGCTAATCAAGGATCTAAATTAATAAGTGTGTTTGAGTTGAACTCTGCAGAAAAGTAGATCTCTATGAGCAGGACTGGGCATCTCTGCTCTGGGACAATGAAAGTCCTTCAGGCAGGATCATATCAGATAAGACCTGATGCTCCTTTTGAGCTCGTCCCAATTTCTCTTGGAGCCTTTAAGATTTACTGTGACTTCTTAGTGTGTAACTTAGTGAGGCCCCTCCTGCTCCTACTGGCTCCACCCCCTCGGGGTGTCACATGACCATGTTACTGCTTTTAACTGGTGTCACCCTTCTCCTACAGGTGACCCTGGTGCTGAGGAGTGGTCCCAGTGGAGCTCTTGCTCAGTTACATGCGGTCAAGGGTCGCAGGTGCGAACAAGAACATGTGTCTCACCATACGGATCACACTGCAGCGGCCCTTTAAGAGAATCCAGGGTGTGCAATAACACTGCCCCCTGCCCAGGTAGTGTTAGTCACAGACACTGGACTGTCCTTCAGAATCTGTTTCTTTCATCATTCTGGGCAGAAAATTGCTGTCATTATTTATTTATTTGCTGTTATTGCTTCATGTTAAATTTTTATGTGAAATGTATTATTATAATTTTCAAAATTATTATTTATCTTTGTGTCTGCTCTGATTGTTCCACTTGTGTATTTAGTCATTCATCTTCATTTGTTTGTTTTATGTTACTTTATAAATTTTCTCATTCTTTGCCGCTCTTTTCATGTCCCTCTTCACAACGTGTGACTTAGCCGAGCTTTTTATATAATTCCAACACAAACCTTGCTGTAACACAAAGCGAGAGAGTGTTTGTTGGTGCATGCATATGAAAAATGTAGAAGAAAGGCGAAAAAGACTAATCTATCCCCCTGTGGCCAGAAAAGCGACCTGAATTACCCTCTTGTTTTAAAATCTTTAATTACTGGAGGTATCAACCTTTAATTCATCATTTTCTGAGGTGCCATCTTAATGGAGTTGGGCTCAACGATACTTCAGCACCATTGAACTTGCTGTCACTGGCTAACTGGATTTTTATTTCAAGTAAAGAGCGTGAAAAGAGGCTTGTTGTTTTTTTCCCCCTTCATCATGAGCTCTGAAAATGCAGTTCAGCTCTTTTAGGACTTTTGGTATCGGTAAATTAATGCCGTTTACATGTTACCTCAGCAGCATTGAACTTATGTCACAAGCTAACTGGATTTTTATTTTTAAGTAAAAGGGCATGAAAAGAGACTTGTTTTGTTTACACCATTAGCTCTAAAAATGGCAATTCAGCTCTTTTATGATTTTTTTATGGTTAAATCAATGTGGATTACACAGCATTATAGATATACAGCTTTTCCCTACATCATGAAAAATATACAGACACATCT